GATCGTTACCATAGAGCACTTAGACTTCAACTAGTATTAATGGCTATTTGTTATATTAAGATCTGTATTCTTACTAGTTGGCTGCCATTCAAACCCAATCGTCTATATCAAGAACTCATATCCTGTGAATGAATAAAAGTCAAGCTGGCTTGCCATGTTTGCGTGTTCTCAGCTTGTAAAACACAGGTGCTTTGAAAGTCTCGACGGCGGAGACATGAAGGAGATCAGCCGCTGTAATGTAAGAATCCAACTGAGAGTCCCTGAAGCTGGAATGGAGTGGTCTTGCATTTGTCTGAAAGGATGACTAGTGTTTCACGCCTCGGGGATCCATCTTTCAACAAACACGCCAGCATTAAGATCTATTCTCCACTGAGACGTTCGCAACTTAACAGAAATTTGAAATCCTTTACGCTTTAATAGCACATTTCATTTTTGGCGTCGCATTGGAAATGTCACGACAAAGACGTGACGACGGTGCTGATTGACCGCCAGAATGGAAATAGTCCCAAATCCTTTTGCTATATGTAGTGATGTGAAAGGCAGCAGACAGGGAGAAATATTAGTCCATTTCATGCTTCAGAAAATATTAGGCACGAGCGAAGCATCTGCTGTAATATAATGAAATATTTGTGATTTGTGACAGCATGTTGCTTGCTAACTTTTTTCCCCATTTCGTCAGACAGCGCGCCTACTTTTCGGATGGAGAAAGGTGTTTTGCTAGGTCTAGATGCTGTAGTGGAAGGTGTTAACTAGACTACAATAACCAGCTTAACAATTAACCATTGGTGTACAGGTAATAAGACTTTCAATCAAGCTTATGTTTTTGTCTGTTGTGGAGGAAGGTGTAATGTTTATTTATTTAGTAATTTATTTACTAAGAAGTTAGATAATTAATATGATAAGGGATGGGCATGAATACATTAAAATGTATTTTAAAATAAAATACCAAATACCTCAATTTTACATGTATCAAAATAAACTGCAAAATACGGCAGCCACAGCAAGTATCAAAATAAAATACTTTTACAAGGGAGCATGAAATTTCTTTGCAAACCCTTTATCAATAGGCCTGTTCAATTAATCCCTTCATCATTAAAACACTTAGTGAAGTAAACAATGTTTGACAGCATTTCTCTGAGCAAGTTAAAGTCAGCTTCTCTGCCACCTCATTCACCTCTACTCCTGTACTTGAGGAGGTATTCATAAACGTTTGTTTCTCTTTAATGTTTGTATACATTTTGAACAAAGCAATACGTCTTGTAAAAAACCGGAGTATGGCTTATTTATACGTTCTGAGGATGTGCAGAAAATACATTTTATTCACGTCCAGAAGACGAACACGACACCATTTCAGTGATGGAACGTGTTGCAGGGACACCTTTCCAACGGTTATCGAATGTTTAAATGTTTGCTGGGACACTATTTTCAGTGATAGTTGATTTGCTCCCAAATATATCCCTGCCAATTGTCTGTTATTTTCTTTATGTGTGTTCCATAGTTTCCATTCAAGCATTGACCACCTTCTTGATGAATTTTCTGTTCTGATCTCAAGCCTATGCAAATAACTGAGAAAGCACCAATCTGAGGAGACATTTTATGACGCCATCTTGTAGACTTATTAAAAAGTATTTTAAAAATACAAAAATTCAAGACACTAAAGCATTTTGATACAAAAAAATAGCCCATTTTCATAAACCCCATCAAATACAAATTAGAAAATACCATTTTGTATTTGAAATGCGTATTTGAAATACATGTATCATAAATACTGCCCATTCCTGAAGATAAGTAGTATTCAGACTTGCTTGTTCATTCTTTATTTAATGTTGTTCAGACATTGGAGCACTTCAAGATTTTTTTTAGTATATAATAATAATAATAATAATAATAATAATAATAATAATGATAATAATAATAATAATTAATAGTAATGTTATAATTATTAAATGATGAGAAAATTATCATTGAAATTGTTAATAATAATAATAATAATAATAATAATAATAATAATAATAATAATAATAACAGCAGCAACAACAACAACAACAACAACAACAGCATTTCTTCTTCTTCTTCTTCCTCTTCTTCTTTTTCTTCTTCTTCTTCTCCTTCTTCTTCTCCTTCTTCTTCTTCTTCTTCTTCTTATTATTAATATTATTATTATTATTATTATTATTATTATTATTATTAT